CACCGACCATGCACTTGTATGTGCTGACATGCGGATGCGTTTTGGCGGAAGCCCACGACGACGTTGTGAGCGCATTGACACCAACCAACTGACAAAGCCAGCTGTTCTGAACGCGTATCGAAGTGCGCTGACATGCGAGTTGAGTAATCGCTCACTGGAGACAAGTGATGGTCACTGGTCGCATGTTCGGCAGACCTTACTAGCAGCAGGAAAATCCTCATGTGGTATGTCTAATAGCCAAAATGGACATTGGGTCTCTTCAAAGTCTGTGGAACTTATCGACACTCGCCGGCATATCCCGGCTGGAAGTGAACACGATGAAACTCGCAAAGAGCTCCGGGCAAAACTCCGTGCTAGCCTGAAGAGAGACTGCGAATCTTGGTGGTCTGTTCGTGCGTCAGAGATGGAAGTGGCCGCTGCCCTTGGCAACCATCGTAAGTTATTCCGTCCGATACGGGAAACGGACAGCAGGAGACCTGGTGTTAGTGAAACTATACGTGATGAGAATGAACAGCCTATCCACAATTTGTCAAAACGTTTGGAGCGTTAGGCTGAGCATTTTCAAAAGCAATTTAATCGGCTAGAATTGTTCGATTTGCCGGTCACTGATCGCCTTGCTCCGTGGGTTGTCCCTTTGGATCCACCCTCTCGCTCAGAAGTCGAACGTGAGATCGGACTGTTGAAGTTGAACAAAGCCGCGGGACCAGATGATCTTCCTCGAGCTCTCTTCAAATTCGGAGGCTCTGCTCTTATTAACGCTTTACATGAATTACTAATGAAAATGTGGGAGCAGAAAACTGTCCCAACCGACTGGAGCCGCTCCGTTATTGTTCCCATCTTCAAAAGCGGTTCGCGCTCGGAATGCGGCAATCATAGAGGAATCAGTTTGATCTCCATCGCCTCAAAATTACTCGCCTCCATTATTCTTCACAGACTGACTGGCACTTGTGAAAGCCAGATTCGTGAGGAGCAAGCCGGGTTTCGTCGTCGTCGTGGCTGATTCGACCACATTTTCACCTTGCGTCAGTTGTTGCAGCACCGTCACACATATTGGCGGCCCACCCTAGTCGTGTTCCTCAACATCAAAGGTGCCTTCGATTCGGTTGATCAATGTGCCCTTTGGAATAGTCTACTCAGGAAAGGTGTGCACGAGAAATATGTAAATATCATCCAAGCATTATATGCGCGTAGCACGGGCAAAGTGAGGGCTTACGGCAAGCTGTCGCCACCCTTTAATATCTCCAGCGGTGTAAGACAAGGATGCCCGCTGTCACCTTTCCTCTTCAACTTCGCTATTGACGAAATCATGGAGATTGCATTTACAGGACATGACTTGGAAGGCGTGGAGCTACTCCCAGGAGAACGACTTCTTGAATTGGAGTATGCAGACGACATTGCCCTCATCTGTGACAGCTCCCAGACGTGCCAAGCCGCACTAGACAGATTAGCACTGGCTGTCAGTCGCTTCGGGCTTTGCTTTGCACCATCGAAGTGCACAGCGTTCCTCCAAGATTGGCAGGGATCGCTCCCTGTGCTGACCCTTGGTGGGGATCAGCTAGAAGTCGTTCAAAAATTCAATTACCTGGGAAGTTGTATCAGCGCCCTAGGGATCGAAGACGAAATCACGAACCGTATAGCGAAAGCTCGAAGTGCTTTTGCTGACCTTTGCCACCTATGGCGGCGGCGCGATATTACTCTTGCCCTGAAGGGTAGAGTGTACAATGCAGCGGTACGTTCCAGCTTACTGTACGGTTGCGAAATCTGGCCCCTAAGATCGGCGGACATGAAGAGGCTAGATACGTTCGACCATCGGTGCCTTCTTAATTTAGCTCACATCTGGTGGGAACACCGCGTGAGTAACGAGCGCGTTCGACACCTTGTTTACGGTACAGGAAAAGGAACTGAACCGCCCAGCACCGTCATTTCACGCACCAGGCTCCGACGGCTGGGCCACGTGTTGCGCATGCCAGCCCATCGACTTCCACGACGTCCGTTGTTTGCTCACCGGGGATGTGGATGGAAGAAGAGGAGGGGTGACCAAGCGATGACTTGGTCCAAAGGAATGAAGGCCCTCACTTCTGAGCTAGCCTCGGTTGGAGCGTCACGGCTCCCTGATTGGGGTCCAAAAGACGGTGAACACGTTTGGCTGGATACACTTGCTGACATGGCAAGGAGCTGACCTCAGTGGCGTACCAGCTGTGAGTTTCTTTGTCCCTCCCCATCCCTTTTAGCCTCCCCCTCCATCTGCGATCTTATTTCGTAGAGTAAAACATAATAAAAAAATTTTCCTAGTAGCTGGCTGGTAGCTTACCGGAACGATGCCTATCCGTTGCTAGTAGCTCAGCTGGCATGCAATTGTCGTATTTATTTTTCCTTTGTGTATTGTATGTATGTATGTATTTCCTTTATGTATTGCGGTACAATAGCGGAGGTGTTTTACCACCTCTAGCTGACATGTATAATGATGATGATGATGACCCTCCGCTCCCCATACTCAGACAGGGTTTCGTTCGAAGTGCCCTGACTCTAGGTTTTAACTCAACAGTCTGACGCATAATGCAGTGGCGTACATGGAGGTTCGCTTGAGAGACTCCACCCAGGGCCTTTCTTGCAACAGCCTGACTACAAGACAGTGGAGAGCAAGTCCAGCTCGGAAATGTGATTACAGAGACCCACTGGGAGCTGATCAATGCCCGTTACACACCAACTTTGAAGATTTAGAACAGTGCACACGTGTTTTATGACTGTATCATGTTACGAACTTCCGAACACCGCAAGCCGTAGAAGGGAACTGGTGGGTTTGCACCAATTTGACAACGGACTGTCTGGCTTGAGGTGGGCGGCAGCAAACCATTGAGCACAGGGAGGTGCCCTCTCACCGTCAAAGTAATGTGTGGCGCTCCGCTTCTACATCAATTGCTCTGTGAGCTTATAACCCGTAGACTTGTTGTCCTCCAGGGCTAGGTTTTAAAGGAAGAGGGTTATCGACCTCTCCCTAACCTCCGAAGTCAGCATCATCATTATACATGTCAGCTAGAGGCGGGAAACACCTCAGCTACTGTGCCGCAATACATAAAAGAAAAAGGAAAATAAATAATAAGTTGCATGCCAGCTGAGCTATCAGCAACGGATAGGCATCGTTTCGCTAAGCTACCAGCCAGCTACTAGGCAAAAAGAAAAATTATTGTTTTACGCTAAGAAATGAGATCTTAGGTGGAGGGGGAGGCTAAAAGGGATGGGGAGGAACAAAGGAACTCACAGCACGAACGCCACTGAGGTCGGATCCTTGCCATGTCACCAAGTGTATCCAGCCAAACGTGTTCATCGTAATTCGGACCTCAACCAGGGAGCCGTGACGCTCCAACCGAGGCCAGCACAAAAGTGAGGGCTTTCATTCCTCTTGACCAAGTCATCGCTTGGCCACCCCTCCTCTTCTTCCATCCACATCCCCGGTGAGCAAACAACGGACGTCGTGGAAGTCGATGGGCTGGCATGCGTAACACGTGGCCGAGCCATCGGAGCCTGGTGCGTGAAATGACGGTGCTGGGCGGTTCAGTTCCTTTTCCTGTACCGTAAACAAGGTGTCGAACGCGCTCGTTACTCACGCGGTGTTCCCACCAGATGTGAGCTAAATTAAGAAGGCACCGGTGGTCGACCGTATCTAGCCTCTTGAGGTCCGCTGCTTTAAGCGGCCAGGTTTCGCAACCGTACAGTAAGATGGAACGTACCGCTGCATTGTATACTCTACCCTTCAGGGCGAGATTAATGTCGCGCCGCCGCCACAGGTGGCGAAGGTTAGTAAAAGCACTTCGAGCTTTGAAAATTATAGTGTTGGTCATCCCAACACGAAAATCGAAGATACAATGTAGTAACATTAAGTCCTTTGGTAACAAACAGTTTATTGGCGAAAACCAGGAAAATACCGCGTAGCTCGATCACACAGCGGTTTTAGATCTATTGTCCAAACAGTATCGTCACTAACGACGCAGTTCCACCAGCAGTGTTTCCTCTGTACTCAGTTAAGCAACACTCGGCAACCGTCATTCAAAAAGCGGAGAATAGTCAAATACGTGTGGTTTGCGTATGATCGACTGACTTGCAGTATTTTAGCAGATACACTACTTCCATCACGCCCATCTGATACATGAACAGACTATAGCTAGGTCTGGTGCAGCAAAGTAAGGAGTAATGGTCTTTCAACCAAAATATTTATACTCACAAAGGAACGCCAGCGCTAATTTCAACCACTACCCATTAAGAATACTAATAGAAGCAGACAAAATGGCCTTTGTTGGGATGAGCAACACTATAATTTTCAATTTACTTACGGTCGTTTTGATCGGAATGACCGAGGTCCACCTCAAGTGAACCGAGGTCTCAACAGAGGTTGCTTTTAGCAACCCAACCGCCAGCGGATTCTCCAAATCCAACTTTGCACTTCGAGCTTTTGCTATCCGGTTCGTGATCTCGTCTTCGATCCCTAACCTCCGAAGACGATTGGATTATGAGACTGAGTTAGTCTGACCCCTAACCATTGACCTGTCGGGTATGAGTTGCTCTGAAGGCACTTGGAAAGTGCCACTCAGCATAGCCCAATGGATCACTGGTGTACGCAAACCATCGCATCACGCTGAAGTTCAGTCTTGTTGCTGCCGTTATCCTTAAACAAGCTGGACACTATGATACATCCGCATTGTCGAAAAATGAAATATTGCTTTGGTTACCTGAAAATAGCAGTGTGCAGTGCGCGTTCGATCGTGCCAAGTAAATAGAAGTTTCCGTGTTGCTCTCACCTAACATGGATACCCCACGAGCGATTTCGTGCTCGTTTGTACTCATCAGGATAATAGGTCTTGAGCTCAGTGTGGAACTGACATTGCTTTTATTCGACTTAATTTGCTATTGTTTGGATAGGTCACAGCGACGCAAAGAGACGAGTACAACGCGAATAATGGACATTGAAGATACCAATGCATAAGAGAAAAATGCTGAAGACTAACCGTTTCATCCGCTTTCTGATTCCATTGAGGATTCAAACGACTAACTCGGCAGCTTAAACTAGTGTTAATGGGATATCTAAATAACAGTGAGCACAAATGAATGAGGTGGTATACCTTGTGCCACTGTCGCAAATGGGGATACCATTGTCGATAGCGTCGCATTCGACAATGAAGCTATCATACAGCTGTAAAACAATAAGGGTTAGCAAGTAAAGTCGACATGCCTTGTGAAACAGAGCAGAAACAAGTGGATCGTTCTCCCCAACATTAGTGATGTTGGCCAAAATTCGGTGACCGAAGTGAACATAAATGAGGCCAGCGCTGCTCAACTTGATATCCCATTTAGCAGCATTATAAAAACTCTTGAACGTTAGATCGAACCCACTGTGGCATAAAGGTAATCAAGTCGGAACAAACCGTTGATGATGGTCATATCTGTGAGTTTGCGGATCAAAAATGCCCCCGACGTCTACCACGATAGAGCAGGAAGATAGTTCAGATAAATCGCGAGTTCGGACGATGCTCGCATTTGTATATTCTGGCAAAATCCTCAACATCGCGCATGCAAGAACTTCGTCCGCATGGAACGTACCGTTGTGCGTCCCGATTCGGGGCTTATCAGACATGACAAAAAACGAATTTGCCCAATAGTAATAAATAAGCTGTAAAGTCAAGGAAATTAGGATGAGACAAACTTGGGTTGTATTGCACACAGACATCAACAGGTTACGCCTAGGGAGTAGAGAATTTGCATAGATGCAAGCACTATATCGGCTAGTAATGAGGAGCGGCCTAGAAAATAATAGCGACTGAAAGAGACCACGAAACGGATTTTTAAGCACCAGAATAAGTACCCAAGTCGTTGAAACTGATGTTAGTCCAACAGGGCATGAAAGAGTGCACATTGGACAGAGCATGGCGAGAGCACATGAAACAGACATGGCTTGGATAGGTAACGACTGCGCAAAGGCAAAGTAAAACGGGAATGGCAATGAAAATGAACGACTGCTGAAAATAGGAGGCGGAAAAATTACGCGAAGACAAAATATTCCAGCAATGAATCAGAGGGATAATAATGGCTCACGAACCACGGCACCAGTCGAAATTCACTGACTGAAAATGTCCATTTGTCACATTCATTTTTCAGCGACAGACTATCTAACATTTCGCCATTAACAAGGGATGTAGCTCATTCTACAGCTTAAAAAGAACGTCAGTTTAACCAACGAACAGTTAATATAAGTCTATGCATCGCACTCTCTTGAAGTAAGGGTAAGCGGCGTCCCCGAATCACACACAAAAGAAACCGTCGCCACAAGAGATTCCGCCTATATAAGTTGGAATAAAGTGGCGAAAGCAACAAGATTCGCGTATTTAGTAATCAAGATCCAGCAAACGAGGCGAACTGATGAGTCAGGGACATGTAATTGCGTGAGACAGGCGGCCCAAAGGGAATCCAGTGGACGAACACGGGTGCAGTGTTGAGATGAGAATCCCACTCAAAATAATAATTGGCGCGGAGTATAACAGCCTACCTATTGTAGCCTTCTGTTGATCGCGAACGTGCCGAACACATCCTAATAGCTCAACTCGAAAAAGAAGTCGAAAGAGGTTAAAAAGGGACAATCTATCGAGAGAACAAACGATGTATACAGGGTATGACTACATTGGCTCCATAAGCTTTCGCTTTGCGTCTATCCAGAGATGATGCAGCTTCGAGTGCCGGCCAAGCCAGTGTTGGTATTGCCCTGAGTCCCCGGACTGAAACTGCTCTGGTTGATTGGATCTCAGTCAGTAGCCGGATGTGTGCGGTTCGACTGCCTGGCTCGTTCAAACCTTCGAAGTCGCGCGGGACTAGGAAGTGTCTGTACGTCATCGCTGGCTACGCGCCCACAAACTCTAGCCATGACTCAGTAAAAACGACTTCTATCGCCAACTGAACGAGCTCCATCACCACAGAAAAAGCACAGACTCTGTGGTGCTGTCTAGGAATCTGAACGCTTGTTGGAATATTGTCCACTGATGAATTGCTTCAGGGCGGCCAACATGATGTAGGCTCCTGTAATGATAACAGTGAGCAGTTATTCCATTTATATTAGGATGTCCGCTTATTTCTTGCGAACGCTAACTTCCGACACAGCACTCGCCGGAGATTAACATGGCGCCCAACAGCCTTAGGCCACCTTTGGAGTCAAATAGACCACATTGCGATCAGTTACCGCTAGAGAGGCTGCGTCCAGTTGTCGCGCGATTTGGAGCACACGTGAGGACACCACCCATGCACTTGTATGTGCTGACCTGCGGAGGCGTTTTGGCGGACGCCCACGACGACGTTGTGAGCGCACTGACAACAGAAAATGACGAAGCCAGCTGTACTAAATGCCGCTGACATGCGAGCTGAGTAAGCGCTCATTGGACACAATTGCAGCTCACTGGTCTCAAGTCCACCAGACCTTAGTAGCAGCGGGCAAATCTTCCTGTGGCAAATCCGAAAGCCAACATGGACATTGGGTCTCTTCGCAGGCTCTGGAACTTATCGATGCTCGCCGTCACATTCCTGCAGGAAGCAAAAACGAGACTCGCAGAAACCCCAGGGCAAAACTACGTGCCAGCCTGAAGGGACCGCGAATCCTGATATTCTCATTGTGCATCAGTGATGTAAATGGCCGCTGCCCTTGGTAACCATCGAAAGTTATTCCGTCTGATGCAAGGAACGGGCAACAGGAAACCTGGTTAGTAAAACTATAGGTGACGAGAGTGGGCAGCCCAGCCACAACTTGTCGAAACACTTGGAGTGTTGGCCTGAGCACTTTAAAAGCCAATTTAATAGGTCGGAATTGCCAGATTTTTCGCCGCCAACTCACCACCCTGCTCCGTGGGCTGTCCCTTTGGATCCGCCCTCGCTCAGAAGTCGAACGTGAGATCGGACTCCCGAAGTTAAATAAAGCCGCGGGACTAGATAATTTTCCTCCAGCCCTCTGCAAATTCGGAAACCTGATCTTGTGGGTGATTTACACGAGTTACTAGCGAAACTGTGGGAGCAGTGGCGCGCATACTTCGGTCCCTTACTGGGGATCGAACCCATGACTGCTAGGGGCTGACGCCAACTAGCCAGCAGCCTATGCCACGGAGACATGGTGGACGATAGACGACCACCACGGATTGAAACCTAACTGCGATATAGCCTGACCCACCCTCCACCGTCATGCAGGTTACTGTCCGTGCGGAGGACAGTGGTTGGCCGACCGGACCAGAACTTCCCTTGTCAGTGCCATGAATCCGAACAGCATTTTGAAGACTGGTAGAGCTTAGCTTTTGACTACTAATTAGTAGACGGATTTGGGTATGATTCTATTTGGTTCATTAAAATTAGATTCCAGGCCGCAAAGGTAAGCTAACAATCCGGAAAAGCGCCAGACGCACGTTTCGCGCTATTGGAGCTCGTCAGTGGTGTGCATCCATCTGTCCCCTACTGGGGATCGGACCCATGACTGCCAGTAGCTAACACCAATTAACAAGCAGCTTATGCCACTGAACCATAGGGAACGACAGCCTACCATCACAGATTGGAACCAAACTGCGATACAGACCGACCCATCCTCCAGCATTATGCAGGTAACGGCCCGTGCAGCGGTTGGCCGTCCGGGTCAGGAATCCCCTCGCCAACTAGCTAGCAGCGTATGCCACCGACAGGGACGGCCCATCACTGTCCTCTGCACGGACATTAACCTGCATGGCAGTGGAGGATAGGTCGAGCCATATCCCAGTTAAGTTTCAATCTGTGATGGTCGGCTCAGTGGCATAAGCTGCCGGCTAGTTGGCGTTAGCCTCCAGCAGTCACAGGTTCGATCCACAGAATGGGACCGAAGGATGCGCACCAGTGACTAACCCAATAGGGTGAAACGCATGTCTGGTGCTTTACCAGACTGGCAGATTACCTGTGCGGCCTGGAATTTAATCGCGATGAAACAAATCGAATCATAACCAAATCCGTCTACTCATTAGTTATCTGGGAAGTTGTATAAGCTCCCTCTGAATCAAAGACGAAATCATGAACCGTACAGCAAAACATCGAGGCGCTTTGGCTAACCTTCGCCAGTTATGGCGCCCGCGCGACATTTCTACCTGAAATGTGAAGTCCAGCCCATTAGATCAGAAGTAATATCGAAGCAAGTTACGTTCGACCATCGGTGCCTTCGCAGTTTGGCTCATCCATTCAATCACTATACAGGTAGAAAACACCTCAGCTATTGTGCTGCAATACAAAAGACAAGGAGAAGAAAAAGCAGTGGCAAACCGGCTGAGTTCCCAGTAACGGATGGACATCGTTCCGGAGAGCCAACAGCCAGCTATCGTGCCGCAACAAGTTATATTATGCCTAACAAGTGAGATCGTGATTGGAGGGGGATGCTAAACAGGAGGGGGATGGACAAAGAAACACATCACAAATGCCGTTGGGGCCGGTTCCTAACCCTATCAGCAAGTGTGCCCAACCAAACGTGTTCATTGTCCTTAGGACTCCAGCAAGGCAGTCAGGATGCAGCAACCGACGCCAGTATCGAAGTGACGGTTTTCATATCTCTCGACCAAGTCATCACTTGCTCCCCCTCCTCTTCCAACCGAATCCCCGGCGCGCAACAATGCACGTCGCGGGAGTCAGTGTGCTGGCATGCGCAACACGTGGCCAAGCCATCTGAGCCTGCTGCGTGATATAATAGTGCTGATCAGTTCACTCACTCTTCCTGCACCAAATACGCAACGCCGAACACACTCATTGCTCATGCGGTGTTCCCACCAGACATGAGCTAAGCTGCGAAGGCAACGATGATCGAATGTGACGAGCCTCTGTATGTCTGTCGACCTGATGTGCCACGTTTCACAACCATGTAGGAGAGCTGAACGGAAGGCTGCATTATAAACTCTGCCCTTCAGCACGAGAGTGACGTGGCGTCTGCGCCACAGGTGGCGGAGATTGGCAAAAGCACCTCGAGCTTTTGCTATACGGTTCGTAACCTCATCTTCGATCCAACGGACGCTGATATAGCTGCCCAGGTACTTGAATTCCTGAACGACTTATAGTTTATCACCACAAAGCGTTAGCACACGGGTGGGTCCCTGCCAATCCTTAAGAAGTACTTTGCATTTCGATGGAGCAAAGCATAGCCCAAAACGATAGACAGCCGGTGCTAATCAGTCCAGTGCTGCTTGGCATGTTTGGGAGCTGTCACAGATTAGAGCAATATCGTCCGCATAACACAAATAAAGGACTCTCTCACCAGAAAGTAGCTCCACACCTTCTGGGTCATGTTCAGCGAATGCTGTTTCCATGACTTCGTCAATTGCGAAGTTAAAGAGAAGCGGTGACAGCAGGCAACCTTGTCTCACACCGCTGGTGATACTGAAGGGTGGCGACAGTTTGCCATGAACTCTCAATCTGCCCGAACTATGCGCGTACAGCGCTTTGATAATGCTTACGTATTTATCCGGCACACCTTTCCTCAGCAGATAGTCCCAAAGGGCATATCGATCGAGTGAATCGAAGGCACCTTTGATGTCGATCAGAAAGACAACGGTGAGTCGCCAATGAACATGGTGGTGCTCCAACAATTGACGCAAAAGGGAAGATGTGATCGATGCAGCGCTGACCTCGACGAAACCCGGCTTGCTCTTCACGGATCTAGCCTTCACGAGTGCCAGTCAGTCTGTAGAAAATGACAGATGCAAGCAATTTAAAGGCAATTGAGATCAGACTGACCCCTCTATGACTGCTGCATTCCGAACGGGTGCATACCTTGAAAATTGGGATTAT